TCAGAACATTTTTTCCTTATAATTATTTTAATTTTATGCTTGAGTATGATAGAATTTTGGGAAATTTTTGCGATTTAGCTACTTTCGCGTAAAGAAACTTAAACTAATATTTGATCTGATAATCGGATTTTTATCGGAATCATGAAATAAAAGGCAATTTTAACTCATATCAAAAGTGAAGCGAATTTTATTCAAGGCAATATTTAACACCACTGATCGTGCATCATTTTTTATTTTAAATATTTATTTGATTTGAAAAGTTTGTTTTTATTAAATTAAAATGAGAATTGATTTGTGTACAAATTCATGAAAAATCAAAATTTTAATCACTATACGAAATTTTTAAAAAAGAAAATATTGTCAATTATTTTGTTTATTTGAACTCAAAATCATTTTATAATATGCGTGTAAAATACCTATGTGATTTCTTTTCTTTCTGCAAATTAGCCTCAGTTTTAGTGTTTTGCGGGAACTGAGATTACCTTAGCAATCAATCGTTTTGTAATGCTCACTCAAATTGGCTAATTAATTAATGTAGATGATAATTTCTGTTAGGAAATCGGATACAAAATATATTTTCGCAGGATAAACAAAAGTGATAATTGGTTTTCTGTCGCTCAAAATATAAGGAAAGTCTGAAATCAACCGTTCATTAGTTAAAATAGAAAAACAATCGAATGGTTAAAGACACTTAATGCTTAATGTAATTTTTATGTTTTGCGTTTTTCACTCTCGTTTATTCAAAGTTGATACGATGCGAAACATCATTTTTAACAATTAAGGTCAAACTCGTTTATTACAAGATCTGATTGAACGAGATCCCGATCTTACGATCTAAAAAATCTATCGATAGGGGGAGATTCAAATTTTAATTTCAAATTCAATCAAATACCAGTGACCTTGGAAGGGGTGGGAAAGGCTGGAGATCAGCCGAAGAGCCAGATTAGGGGGGCTATGACTTACTTGAAAAATATATTTATCTATATATTTATTTTTTTAGTTAGATATTCAAATATATTCATTTTTTAATTAGATATACAAAGTTGATACGATGCGAAATATCAATTTTAACAATTAAAGTCAAACTTGTTTATTGCAAGATCTGATTAAACGAGATCCCGATCTTACGACCTAAAAATTCTATCGATAGGGGAGATTCAAATTTTAATTTCAAATTCAAAATCTATCGATAGGGGAGATTCAAATTTTAATTTCAAATTCAATCAAATACCAGGGACCTCGGAAGGGGTAGGAAAGGTGGGAGATCAACAGAAGAGCCAGGTTAGGGGGCTATTACTTGCTTGAAAAATATATTTATATGTATATATTTATATTTTTAATTAGATATTCTTAGATTAACTTTCCACATGGTTAAAATTCAATGAGTAAAAGTTTTACTAAGGATGGAAAGAACATCATGCAGCAGAAAGGGACACTGAATAGAAAGAGTTTCACATTTTCCAATGGGTTAGGTGGGCTATAAGTTTAACGCAATATTCTCAAAGGACCGTGGTGGCTCAGGGGATAGAGCGTCGTCCTTCCAATGAGGTGAACCGGGTGGTACGAATCCCAGCGAGGGCTGGTCAATAAGAGTTCTGCATCTGACTTGCATATACCGCAATGCTGACGTAAAATATTCTCAGTGGTAGACGGATCGTGGGTAAGAGTCCCCTTGCCGTTAGGCTTACTGAGGGAAGTTTTCGTGGTTTTCCACTCCATGAAACTTAAAGGAGATTTAGTTCCATCAAAAAGTCCTCCTAGAAGGCAAATTTCTCCTAATACTTGATCCAGGAGTTCTCTTATCTTCTGAATTAGGTTCAAAATTACAAAGCTATGGAGTTGAACATGAGTTCTCAAAAACACAAAAAATTAAGTCGGCTGTTCAACGACTGTTATAAAATAGAAAATATTCTCAAAGAATGAATGCCAAAAACAGGGAAGAGGGCGTTTAGAGAATAACCTCGTAAACTCTTCATTCATTCTGTTTTATTTAGTGTGTTATGTTTTGTTAATTAATTTTACGAAAACAGAGGAATTTTTTTTTTGAAAAAAAAACATCAATTTAAAATTCAGATTCACAATAAAAAAATTTTGTTTTGTATTACTTTAATTTACTTTTTAATCAAAAAAAAAAAATGAAGAATGACTTTTTTTCGACTTTATGTTTCGATAATAGGAATTTACATTCTAATAAAAAACACAGTTGCTTAGAGAGAAGTCGAATTTAAATTTGAAATCTACGACATGAAAATATCCGTGATTTGTAGAAAAAAAACTTATGTAACAGGAAAAAAAATTGTTCTCCCCGTAAATCATTTAATATTTTCCAATTACTATGGCGATAGTCCGTTCTCTTGTAAATGCATTTTATACCAGGTCATTTTCAATTAATTTTAAAAAGTTATTTTTCAGTTAGTATACTTCATAAAAATTTTATTACAAGTTCACTTCGTAAAAAAAACTGTGATCATGAACGATTTTAGATATTGCTTGTGAATAAAGTAAGAATACGACAATAATTTTTATCGAAAATGAAATCGCAAAAATAATTGATTTTGAAGAGTCTATCAAACTGTTTGTCTGTCACTGCTTATAGCAAGAATGAATAAATGTTTATGCCTTGTATACTATATATTTCATACTATACATTTGTATGTCCTATTACATTATGCTCAATAAAAATATTACATGTAATTAATATTAATATATGACTACTTGAATTAATATTCTCATTAATTAAACTAACGGCTGTCTTTTTTAGCCTTAAATTCGTTCGTTAATTGTTATTCATCTTATTCATATGTTTATTAACTGAGTATTTAATAAACATCGAAAAAAAAGAAGATATAAAATGAAAAAAAAAAACAATTTTCTACAACGTTAGGACTACTCCGGCAAATCAAATTACTAAAAAATAAAAATCTGATTTCTTTAAAAAGAGTTTTATCAGCTCCGTTTTTAGTATCACCCGGGGAATACTATTTTATTTTAAAGAAATAATTTTTCTTTAATTAATTTGTTATGAAAGTATGGGGGGGGGTGAACTTTAACCGTTTGAATTCTCTGATTAAAACTGGCATTGAAACGTAGAAACCTTTTGTTCTACGTTTCAGTACCAGTATGAAACGTACTCTTTTCAACTGGAATACAGATTTGTTTTAAATACACTGATATTTTGTTTGTTCGAGTTCAGTGGTCAATATTACTTGCAATAATTTTGTTTGAACAAACACATTTTGTTTGAAAATATTTACACCGTCATTAAAATTTTTTTCAGCTAAAGAAATATATTTTAAAGTATTTGCAGAATATTTCAATAATTTTAGCTTCTGGAAAAAAAAAAAACTTTCTACTACTGGGTTGTTATGAATGGTGGCGTCATCTATGTTATAAAACACGAACTAAACAGATTATTACATTACTGCTTTTTTTTTTTTTTCTCTTCAGTTTGAAAAGTAAAAATTTTCTTGAGGGAAAAAAGAAATCCTCGAATGAGTTCTCTTTTTATTTAACAATTTTGTTTTGAATATTTAATTTACACTATTAAAAAATTTAGAATTCTAATTTTATTAACTTTTTTTTAAAAATATCTGTTAGCTTGATTATAGTAGTTATAATATCTTTTAGCTTGATTATAGTATACAAAGTTATTACGTTAACGGGTTACGATGGTTTTAAGAAGTCATGTCATCAAACTTGGAGTGGCATCAAACTTTTACAAATCTATTGTTAGAGAATTGTGGGAAATAAAGGCAATAAAATTTTATTTGAAAACAAGCTTCAGTTTTTTCCTTTTATTAATTACTGAAAATCCTAAAACTATGATAACTAACTTCTAATTAAAAGATAAAATTAAATGGTCAGAAATTGTTTTATAATCTTTACTCAAAATTATAATCAAGGTTTGTAGTTTGTATTTCACTTCATTGCACTAAATAACTCTTGAAAAAACCTATTTGTTTTAGCTTCTCCTAATACTTTACGCTTAGAGGGTTGAAGAAAGTTTTTTTTTCCCTCAAAAAGTAAGTTAAACTCTCCTTTTTAAACCTGACAGAATAGATTTAGATTAATATTAATTGTTAGCTATGTTTTATGCAAAAATAAGCACTGATAAGGGGGAAATGATTAATCATAAAAAATTATTTAAAAGATTTATTAAAGACAAAAAATAAGAAAAAAATAATTTTATTTAAAAATAATATATAAAAACTAATTTGTTTCTTTTATTAAATTGTTTCATAAGTTTAGGTTTCTACATTGTTCATCCCCATCAATTATTTCCTTCAAATAAATTCAGGTTCCATGAAATCGAGTTGCTGGAGGGATAATTTCTGTATTTTACTAATGTTCTTCTTTTTATCAAACTTCGTTAATAACATCATTTCTTTTTGTTATACTGCGCATGTAGTTTCCTTCAAATTTGACGCAGTATAGCTACTTCTGGCTCTTTAATTATTAAACTTTACTTTAAATCTAATTTTATGTTGTTCGTTTTCAGCAATGGTTATTGCTTCGATTTAATATAAAGCTAATACCAAAAACCAAAAGAATTACCTTTATTTTCAGCAAATTTCATTTTATAAAAGAGAATTCCCAAATCTTTCAAATTTTATGGTTTTAAATAATGGGGGTTAATATGGTCTAAAAAAAGAAAAAAATATTGAAGGTGTTTGGAGTTATAGAGAAATAAGGGATTCCACTGTGATTATTTAAAATAATAATTTAATAATTTCATTGTTCTAGTTCTGGTTGTATCCGAAACATTATTTGAAAATTATACATTCTAATAAAATGATAGTTCATTGTCAAAAATCATGAAAACAATGAAAGGAATCATGCTATGGATATTACATTAATAAAATTTTTTGACATTTACTTAATCAAAAACAATTAATAAAAAAATGAAACAGGAAATGTACAACAGAAACTACCTGTTGTATACATATTGTAAGGTTTTCAAATGATGTAAAGAGTTGTGTGAGAGAGAATAAAAAATTATCTTTTGAAAACACTCCATTTATTAAAATTTGCACATGTTGGTATGTTGGTTGATATGTTGGGAAAATGTCATAATTATATAAACATTTTCATAATGATGTCTAAACTAAACTTTAAAACAAAAGGAAACTAATTCGTATTGTGGTAAAATTGTTGCGTAAATCTACATTCTCTCATAAATAAATAATAAGTAGAAATGGTACAAACTTAAGAAAAGAAATTTATTAATAATTTATTTAAATCACACGTTTACATAAAATATACAATTAAATAAATACAATTGACTTTCACGAAGATCATATAAAAATATGGAACCACATAATAAAATAGAATAAGGTTTTCAGAGTAAACTATTTTTCTTTGAAATGAATGTTAAGTTACAAAACAGTACATAAAGATATAGATTTGTTAAAACATAGATATAGATAGTTAAACATATAGATTTGTTTTAAAATGTCCACAATATGTTTCCAATTCAAGCTCTACATTAGCTTTTGGAGAATTTTTTATTTATATTTTATTTAAATCACACTTTAAAATAAGTTTCTGGTCGATGAAAATGAATTTACTTTTCGTGAAAAACTCTTTAAATTAAATTAGAAACTTTAAGCATTTAAAATTGACAAAAAACAAAAACAGTTGAAGCTATAAAGAAAATGTGATGAATTTATTAAATTTTGGATGTTTCATTTTAAATTCATAACATTAATCAGAATATACTTCTATATTTTAGAATTATTTCAAAAATATAATTTATTTACCTCTGCAAATTATTAATTTTTACTTAAATAAAATGGGACAATACTAATTATCTATAATTCTGCGTGCGTTAAAAATATCCTTGTAGTACTTCATTCATTTAAACAAAAACTATAAAGAAATTATGATGTGTTCTATAAAATAAACGTCATCTCTATTAGATTTTTAATTTTTTGAATCTTTCAATACATTAATTATTTTATTTCCGTGTAATTACTATTTATTATAATTATTTTTTTAAACTTAAGATTGAATTCAACTAAATATAAAATTGCAATTGCTCTGAATAAAATGCATAAATTGAGAGTTTTTATACTGTACAAAATATCTACAAAGCAGTTTATTCCTTTAAATAACTATTAAAGCTTTGAAAAATGAATAATATGGCTTTTAAAATAAAAATAATGGATGCACAACTTTTATACTAATAAAGTCCTTTTTTTATCAAAGTATTAAATAAGAAATATTACAAAAATATTAATTCTATTTTATTTTTCGTCCGGAAGTATCTTAAATTACAGCTTAATATTTAAAAATAGCATGGAAGTAATTTAAATGTATTCGTTGAAATATTTTGAATTTTTTTTAATTAAAAAAAGAAGTGATTACAATCACAATGCAATCACCAAATACGTCAGTTCATTTTACAAAAAAAAAAATAAAAAATACTTTTCTTGAACATGATTTTTTAAACAAATCTAGACATAAAGAGTTATTATTATACAGATATTTTAATTTGCAGAAATACTTCAGCTTATTTATTAACAAAAAAAACATGTACTTTTAAGGAGTATGATTTCTTAAACAACATTGCTCTGCATAGAAAGAATTATTATTGTGCAAACACTTTTCTTTGTACAAATACTTCAGTTCATTTATCAAATACAAAAATTACTTTATAGAGTACGATTTCTTAAACATCATTGCTCTACTTAGGAAGAGTTATTATACTGCAGATTTTTTTTTCTCTTTCGGTGTAATTACTTCAGTTCATTTAAGAAAAAAATTGACTTTTATAAGTCACGATTCTTTAAATCACATTGTTCAACATAAGAAGAATTATTATTGTACAGACATTTATATTTGTGCAAATACTTCAGGTTCATTTAACAAAAAAATTAAGTTTTATAAAATACAACTTCTTAAAAAAACATAGATCTACATAGAAGGAACATTATTGTACAGTGTGCAGATATTTATATTTGTGCAAAGATTTCAATTCCTTAAAAAATTTGATTTTGACAGGGAACAATTTCTTTAACAGCATTGCTCTATATTGAAGAAATTATTGAGCATAATTATATTTCTGCAAATATTTTGAATTTTGCTTAATTAAAATTGAATTAATAAGGATCAAAATGTAGTTAAAAAATACTTCAGTTCATTTGACAAAATAAAATTGCATTTTATAGAGCACGATTTCTGAAATAACATTGCTCTACATAGAAACAATTATTACAAGAATAACAACTTTACATTAATGTTAAGAACAATACTTTGATCAAGAAATATTAAGAATCAAAGTGATGCATCTTTATACACTTCACGCATAGTAAATATTTCTTTTTAAAATACTGAAACATCACATATTAAACAATGGAAACACCAATAGAGTATAAAAATTAGTTCAAATAGACGTTTCACGAGAACGGTCAATCCGTTTTAACTGATCTATTGATTTCTGTTGCACCATTAACTCGTCATTATTGTTGTCATATCTTTCTTTATCTCCAGTTGACTTTTCTGTATCTCCCAATTTGGACTTTGGGAATCTGCGTTTGGATCCCAAAATATTAGGAAAAGCACAGATTTCGATATTAAATTTTGATGCTGGGAGAGAAGCTGGAGCATCATCAAAACTTGGGTTGTCTGGAACAGAATTTTCTTCATCTACTTCTTGAATTTCATCAAATGTAACAGGTTGAGTGCGATACCTGGTACGTGGACGATTGTTGCGTTTGCTACGATTTTGGCTTTTGGGGTACTCTACAATCAAATGACGATTTAATCTTGAAAGGTGCTCTGGGTAAGGAATATCCATGTCTGATCTCACATTTCCCAAAGAGTTTCTCGGTGAACTTGAGGCCATTTTTACTGAAAATTGTTTTGTCAATTATATAGGCAACGCCAGTGGTAATGCCTAAAATTCCTTCTCAAACAGGTTTTGTTAAAAAATTCGTGATATTTTCTAGTTTATAAACTTAAGCACTTGCTAGTTCAAATGAGATGAATGATTTGAATGCGAAAATTTGAAATATCTGAAAAGAAACAAAAACAATTCTTTAATATTAGAATTATTATAAGAAATTATTATACTAAACCACAACTAATGCAGTAATAAAAGATGTAATTCTGTGCTATTTATAAGGTATACGGGGCACTTTTAAAATATAGTGCAGTAAAAAAAAAACGTATCTTTATTACAACTTAACATTCTTGAAACTGTCTAAACTGAAGCTAGAAATTTAGCATTTACAAATCTTAGAACATAAAGTCAAGTCAAATGTTCAATCAGACTTAATCGGATTAAATTATAGCTGTAAAAAAATTGTGTCCTTCTGTTTATAAATTGGATAAATATCTTCCTAAATTACAGTATTTATGTTTTAAAAAGCAAAGATTTGGTGTTAATATTAAAAAATAAAGGCGCATATTAAGTAATTTTTGTTTTGACTTTGCTATAATCCTTTTAACAGAAAAAACAGAATGGCTCGAAAAAGTTCATTAAATAGTCACAGAATATGTGCTGTCACTTTTAATCAGAATTAAATGCCAATTATGGTTAAAATAAAAACGCTTTAACGAACTGAATCAAAAGTTAGAGACAAAGTATATTAAGATTAGTTTAAGAAAAACTCTTGGTATTAATTATTTGGTACTTATATATCACACAGTAACAGTTAATATTTGTATAGTTTTTTTCATTTTTTCATTTTTTTTTAGTTCAGGAAAAATTCGAACGAAAAAAGACAGTTAAAATACATAAACTTTCACGATATATTTTTTCTTCTCTCACATTTTTAAAAATTTTATTTGAATGACTTTTAATACAGAAAATATGAAGCATACTTTTCTTTTCTTACAAATAATCTTTGCGTTAGTTTAATAAAATTCTCGTAGTGCGAGGAAAATAGCATCTAAATAAACTGATTTCCCCCACGCATCATTATTCCATGACATCTTTGTTAAGGTAAAATGATGAGAGCTCTGGTAATTATTTTGGACTCAACAAATACCATTTCTAAATCCCACTATTTCTGTAATCCTAATTGCCGTTTTTATTAAGAGAGTTTACTTGATGATACGAGATCTTTTTTTTCCCTGCTGGTTAAAGCTTCAAAATCTTTGAGCTATAAAGACTAAAAGAAATAAACAACGCGAATAAAGCATAAATGAAAGTACAGAAATGGACATACTATAGTTTCGGTTCTATAAGCAATAAAATGTCTGTATACCAAATGATGGTAGAGAAGTAAAGAAATAAACGCATGCAAAGTGGTTTAAGCATTCGTGGGTTCTGGTTTCCCAAATATTGAAGTATCCGGATCCTTAGCCGACACCCTTGGTTCTATACTAGTTTTAGGACTTGAAATCTTTTAATGACTTTTTTTAAAAAAAAAAAAAAAAAATAGTCTTCACGTTGCAGACAAACAAAAATTTTATTTAGACTAAACATCTGTCTTTTCGAAGAATATTAAATCTTACTTATACCGTTTATAGTTCATTATTTAAAGTCAGTGTAAGTAAACAGTAAGAAGGAAAACGAAAGGGTTAAAAGAGGATTCTTTTAATAGACAAGAAAATGGCTGGCATTACCAAGTTTATAACGCATGTTTTAAGTAAGACTTCATATCGCGTAAGCTGGGGTCAAAATTTATGACTGTTCCTGTCTCCCTTCCGTATTATATTTGACAGATTGGAAGATGCTAAGAAAAATATAAATAAACGAGAAAATACCATCATTTTAGAAAGAAGAAATTATGCGCTGAAAGTTCAGGAAAATTTTACCTGGTTCTTGTCATATTTGGAAAATTATCTCATGCGAATCATGTTTCTAAACGCCTAACCGAAACTTTTGGTATAAATCAAAACAAAGATAAGACTGAAATCGCTTTAATAATAACATGAATGTTATTATATTTTAAAGGCAACGATGATCTAGATAAGCGGACGCTAGCTACCAGCGAGTGATCATTTCATTGAAAATGACTATCAAAAGTTCAAACCTTAGTCATTTAAAGCAACCATGTTATACTCTGACAAATAAATAAATAAATAAATAATAGAAAATACCGAGTCACTATAATACACCTCAGATGTTACTCGAAGTCATCCCTCGCTTTTCTCAAAGATATGACTTTTAATGACGTAACCATTACATGGAGAACTTTTTTTTATCTCACTTCGCAGGCGTGATAGTATTGCTTTATAACCTGGAAGTGTGGGCACTATTTGAGCCATTCTCTTGTTGAAGAAGTGCGCGGAAATGAATTCTAATCGTAGCAGGGCTGAAAGTTCTGTATTAGGTTTACCTGAAAATTCGGTCGCGAAAGAACACGCCCCATTATACAGGGATGCAGAAAGGCCTTAAAATTAGGGCATTTACCTTTAAATGTACACTGTTAGAAATTTCTGAGAAAAAATTGCCAAATAACAATTTATTGAATGGTTATTTTACCATATTTAATCAATACAGTCAAATACCCATAAATAAAATGGTAATCAAACTGTTAAGTTTATGAAAAACTGTTTATTAACTGCTTTCACCTAATACGGTTAAACAACCACAATTTTATCGCATCAACTAGAACCACCTAATGAAGCTACTTAGTTCTTTGTAACAGCGTACATATCATAGCCGAGTGGGCTTATCTGTCAATCTCATGACCGTCAGAACTGGAGTTCGAGTCCTAGTGTTGACACTGCAATATTTCCTCCATTCCGTTCAACACTTGAAGAATTTCTAGTGTCCGGCACTCTCTAATTCCCATTACCTTACGAAAAGCCGAGCTTCTATGTAAAGTTAAAAAATTATTACGTTTTTGAAAAATGCTAGTTGTAGATGGTTAAAAAACAGTATAGTTTTGGATTCATGGCTTCATAACCATATTTTTGAAAATGGTAACAAAACCATAAATGAAAAAAATTTTCTTTTCCGTAAACTTTACAGTTAATCGGATTGACAGACAGCTGCCAGTTATATTNAAAATTTTAACAGTGTATATATCAGATATACCGCTTAGTTCTGGTGGACACTTACGTTGCATGTTTGAATATGTATGAACATGGTCTGTTTTGCGCCATGCATGCTGTGTTTCTTTTAGCAAAAACAATCATTTTTATGGACACCAGCGAGGGAATGAATTAAAGTAAGTGACATTTAGTCATACAATTCAAGTATGAAATATTCTAAATCAAGAAGAAAGGCGAAAGTATTTATTTATAAGGAGCGAAAGTATTCAAGCGAAAGTATTTATTTATTAGGAAATATTTTTTTTTCTCAAATGAATGGCACTGAACTTTATTCGTTTCGCCTTAGAAGATGCCAGAGGTGCTGCTCATTCCGCGTTACCTAGTGGGCACCCGTGAACCAAAGTCACGGAGGCGAGTAACATTGCCCACGCCACACTGCCACAAACCCATTCATAGGGTGGGTCACATTCACTCATCACACACAAAAGAGGACAACACAAGAGAGAGAAACATCCATGTCCAGAGCGGGATTCGAACCCGCGGCCATTGGCTTCGCAGTCAGGCTCGCTAACCGTTTGGCCACCTGGCCGGCTTATAAGGAAATATAAAAACAGAAGACAACTATTTTCTCTAATTTTTAGACAATTATGACATCTGATATTGATACGCATAAGAATCCATTTAATCAAAAAATTGTCAAATACTTTTACACAAAGTACTAAATGTGTGCGTTTTAATTAAGTAACAGCAAACTTTTTTTTAAATAAAAAAGAGCATTACAAGAGAAATAAAAAAACTTTAAAACTTCGTTTAAGTAGTTTTTACTAAGAAAATTAAATTAAATTATCTTTAGGTCTTATGAAATGTAATCGATTTTATTTTTTAATTTCCTTTGTTGTAATTGATTCGAAACTTCCAAGGAAAGGAAGTCTTCAAAAATTGAGAGAGAATAGCTGAATATTTACATGCTTGGCCGGGTATATAAGGGTAAAAAATGTATCTCACGGAAACGTCGGGCAATTTAATTTTCGAGTCGTACTCATAACAGTACTTCCTAAACACAATTTTAAATTTATACATTCATATTTAAACAAAACCCTTATCACTAAAAAAAAAGTCGAAATTGAAATTACGAGGAACATAATTTCATATCATTCAATAAATTTTTCACTCCATTCTTTATTTTAATTCAAACATTTGGCTAGATTAGTGACAGTTTATGAATTATGAATACTCATAGTTTTTTATACCCTTTTATTTGTCCCTTAAGTATCAATTGTATGGTTATGAGTTTCTCTCATAAAAGCTTTAACTTTTAAAGAGTTTAATATCAATAAATTATTATTATTTAGAGTGTATATATATATATACTATATACTTATCTGACGAAGTCTGTTGGGCGAGCTGGGCCAGGACTTAAAAATAGCAAAACAATTTTTATTTAACCTTTGAAAAAACACAATAATAGTTTCATAATCTTATTTTGTATTTACCAAATAAAATAAGAAACGATCATATATTGTACTGCATACAAAAATTATACAGAGAATATTTTAAATCTCATATTATTTACTGTATCTCATATTATTTATTGTATTGTTACAAAATCTTCATCTCCATAGAGAGAAATAGAGTGCGTAGCGATTTTAAGAATATAAAGTTAAGGAAATTTGTTTTAAACAAATATTATTAAATAATAGCTTTTCTTAAAGTTATATTTTGATCCTCAAATTTTGCTTAACATTAGTACTTGTATAATAAAGAAGATGGCATAAATTATTGTTATACTATTTAATACATAAATGAAATGGATAACAAATTTTTTTTAGTTCTATCAAAAAATTGGATTCTCTTAATAGATTATTGGTTTAAATTAATAAGTTCAATAAGTGATACATAACTATTTTTCTCGTATATAAATTACAAATTATGTTAACCAATGGATTAAAATAGTAGACACAGTTGCAAAAATGATTGTTAACCGAATGAAAAATATCAGCATTTTACACAGTTAAGGAAAGAAAAAAGAAAAATGGGATGAAAATTATCAAAACGTGATTTATTT